GGGAATGTACAGCCCGAGATGCCTATTAAACTTTTACTTCTGCTTAGAGGGCGGGGGGGCGGGAAAGTCCTTTGTAAATCTAAATTAGAATTGGTCTGATAAATGCTGAGCTGGGTGTGTGTAAATGTGGGTTGATTAGCATTTGGAGCACAGATTCCCCATCATGCAGTGCTCCCCTGCTTTGCTGATCCCAGAATTCACTGCGGTCTTTGCTTTGGGCATTCTGTTCTCCATCTTCCATGTAAATGAATTGTCATCTGGTTCCATCGTGCATGGAAATGAGACCTAGGGCAGTTGTTTCACTCTTGTCACCCTTACCTGCAGGGCTTTAGGTGCATCTCCCATTGCACCTTCAATGTCTTTTGTAATAAGTTCTTGTTCAGGTAGAGGAGGGGAGGGATGAGAAATCTTTGTGAATCAGACAGGCTGCGTCCTGTGTCAGAGTTCCCCAAGAACATGGAGCTGAGAGGTAACACTGCCACCAGCCAGGGTCCACACAGTGGGGAAGGGGGAAGCCCCCAGGGTAGGGGCTTCCTCCTTGCATAGTCCAGCTCTGCCAGGCAGTAAACAACTCAGCTCCACCACCTCACCAGTCCCCCAACTCTCAGCTTCTGGGGGCAGGGCAGGGGAACAGACCCCCCATTACCTTCCCCTCAGCCAGGGCATGCACAGCAGTTGTGGGGAGCCACTCATGGCTGAAAGGCAAGGGGCTGGCGAGGTGGTGGGGCTGGGGCATTTGCTGTCTGACAGAGCTGGGCAGCTTGGTGGAAAAGCCCCTGCCTTCAGGCCTTGATTAGTGCAGACATCTGCCTGCCTTGGCCAACAAAAGAGTGAATGAGAATTCTGTTTGTTAGCAGTTTAATCTACACAGTTTAGAGAAACCTGTGTAGATTGGATCAATTCCGTTTCCGGTACTGTGCTTAGTCACAAAGGCTCTAATGCCTTCTGATTATAATCTTAATTATATTAAATTGTATTTCACTTAGTCGCAGCAAAAATAGATTCCCACTCATGGGATAAACTAGGATTACCTAGCATTCCTAATTGCTAGACTAGACTTGAGTTGTTGAATAGACATGAATCATAGACAAATTGGGCTGGAAGGGACCTCAGGGGGTCATCTAGTTCAGCCCCATGCTTAAAGCAAGATTACCCCAGACTAGACCATCTCAAACAATGATTCATCTGACCTTCTTTTAAACACTTCCGAAGACGGATCTTCTATAACTTCTCTGAGTAGCCTCTTCCAATGCTTAGCCACTCTCATAATGAGAAAGTTCTAAATATCCATCCTAAATTTCCTTTGCTGCAGTTTAAGAACATTGTTCTGCAGCCACAGAGAAGTTTATCTCTATAGTAGTAGTATGGTATAGTTATAACTACCTGTTAAGTATATAGGCTGTTGTCAAATCCCACCTCGGTCATTCCTTTTCCAAACTGAATGATTTCAGTTCTTTCAGTTTTTCCTTGTATTCATGCGTTTCAAAACTCTAATCAGATTTGTTGCTTTCTGTTGGATTCTTTCCAACTTGTTCACATCTTTCTTGAAGTGCAGTTCCCTAAACTGGGCACAGTATACCAGGTGAGGTTTCACCAGTGCCAAACGAACAGAAGAGTCACTTCCCTTGACTTGCAAGGGGTGCTTCTACTAATGTAGCCTAGTATGCTTTATTTATTTATTTATTTATTTACAACAAGGGCACACGGTTCATATTCAGTTACTCATATTCAGCTTATGATTGTCTGTTATTCCCAGGTTCTGCAGCCTAACCAGTACTGCAGCCTATCCTGTCTGTATTTGTACATTTGATTTGTTCCAACCCACATGCAGGACTTTTCCCTGGTGCTTACTGAGTTTCATATGATTAATTTTGGACCAGTTCTTCAGTTTACAAGATCTGCAACTTTACCATGCTTGGTGTCATATACAAATTTGCTAAATCCTATCCTTCAAATCATTAATGAAGATATTAACTAATACCAGACCCAAGACAGAACCTTGAGGAGCCCCACTCAGTGCCATCTACCATCTACAACATCAAGCCATTGGTAACTACTCATGGAGTGTGATGATCCAACCAGTTTTGTATCTGCCTTACAGATACAGTACTGTCATCTAGACCGTATTCTTTAATCCACTAATGATAATGTCGTCCAGAGACCAAGCCAAACGCCTTATTTAATTCAAGGTATATCATATCCACTGCTCTCCACCCCACCAACAGACAGCCTTGTCACACAAGGAAATCGGGTTGGTCAGGCATGACTTGCTCTTGATGAATCAGTGTTAACTGTTGCAAATCAGCCTGTTTTCTGTTTCCTTGATAACCTGCTCTATGATTTTTCTAGGCATCAAGGACAGACTGTCTGGTCTGTAACTGCCTGGATCCTCCTTGTTCTCCTTCTTCCCTTTTCAATGAATAATAATTTTGTAGTGGTGGGGCATGAGTGATCACTGATAAAATAGGTCTTTTTTTTAATTCTATGATTCATTACTAAGATGCAGAGTGAGTTTCTAATGTGTTGGTCTTTACAACCAGTCTTAAACTGATTTACAGTATTTCAGACTTTCTGGAACTCAGAGGAAATTACTGACGGTGGTGGGAAAGAATTGGGGAACTTTGTTTGACATAGGCAAGATATGGGAAAAGGGTAGAAGAGCCTGATTTTTATTTATTTATTTATTTATTTGTGGAGCTGTAGGTTTCTGCAATTTTTTCTAGCACATAATTGTTTTAAGCAACCTATAATTTATCTTCAAAAAACCAAAAAAATCGTTCTTTCAGTTTTTCCATATACTTTTAGTACATTTGTGTGTTTGAGTACTTATGTAAACAGTAATATAGTGTTTCATTGGTATTTTCTGGAGCATGCCAAAGGTGGAGCTTTTAGCCTCATTTCTAGGTCTAGAAAGTGTGGCGGAGCAGAAACAGGTCAGTGGGCCACGCTTTTAGGTTTTGTTCTCAAAACCTACGCGCAGAAATGGTAGAAGTTGTAAATTGATATTGCCTTTCCTAGTACCATTGGGCACTACTAATATGTTTGGCCTTGGGAACAAGTCACCTGTAATCTAGTCCAAGTTCTTGTCTTTGAATACTTGCATCTTTATTATGACTCAGTGGTACTTATTATAATTTATAATACTTATTATAATTATTATAATTATAAATGCTCTGGGAAAATCTTCCATATATTTACTTTGTTTTCTTGTTCTTCCTTTTCTAAATTTCTAGCCAATAAGAACACTAGTCATGACCAGCATGTCTTCTGAGTAAGTATTAGATACTTTGCTGACTTTCTATTCAGTATACAATTTGAACTTCAATATGAATAGTCTTTTCTTGCACAAACTGCACTGTATTTAATATATTTATAGTCCATATTTGAAATTTTTCATTCTCATGCTAGACTGTATATACTTACAAGATCTGTAAATCGACTTTAGGGTAATAATACTAAGATAAAAAGAGCTGAGCATTTTTCTGAGTGAATTTATACAGCAAATGGGTGGAATTTTAGCCTGAAAGAGCCTTTTTTCCACATAAATTTGAATTGCTTTTATAAAGAATGTCATAATGAACTGAAACATTGGATTGGATGTTTTCTTTGACATAAATAGCTTGTAAGGAAATATCAGTTTTAGGCTTTTTAGACGCTTGGTTACAAAACATTAAAAGCAGCTCCCCCTGCATACTTGTGGAAGAATTAATATTTTTCTGGCATGCTCTTATCTTTCTCTTTAAACTCTTACAAAATAACATCCAACAAAAACACAATTCCATATTTTATATTATGGTTGGTTACATTTTTTTTCAATCTTTTTCAATAACTCCAGTTATTGGTGCCACCCACAAATCTGTTTCAGGTTTGAAAACATTAATCAAATCATGATAGTTACATGAAGATGAGTACTAAAATGGCACTCAAATACTGGCTATCTTTAAAAGATTTGTACATGTTTCTGTCAATATTTTTCCCATAAGCCTAAGTTAATATGTCAAGAAAATGGAAATAAAGTACATTTTCATTTTTATCTTGTTCCTGTGTAATAAAACGTGACATTGATGGCACTGTCCATCTATGAACCTCAGTACAATTCATAAATCACTCAGTAATGCATCATTATAAGGCATGTAAATATGATCAGCAAGTTATAGATGAGAACAGTGAGTTTCAGGCAAGCTTTCATATTCAAAAGGACACAGAAAAAGTCTTGGCAAAGTTGGAAGAGAATCTATTTCTCTGGACCCAATCATAAGGATGTCCTACCCATGCAAGCAAGTACAGATGTATCTGTATTGTTTCCATACATTCCTGATGTAAAATCTGCCTTACCCTAAGCATTATTGCACATACTTACTATAAAAATATTTTGTGATAACCAACTTTGTTCTTCAGAACTCCTTTAAGACCTGTGATTTAGTCTTTCTGCAGTTATGATGCATGATAAGGTTGTGCCCACCAGTCTATGGGGGGGGGGGAAGTCCTAGGAGAGCAAAAAAGAAACAATCCAAAATAGAAAGCCAGCTGTCAACAACCTGTTCTTTAGTCCAAAGAGGATACAGAGACCAAAAAAGTCACTAGAATTTAACTGTATAAAGTGGTGAAGTTGGTGGTGTCGTGGCATCATTTTTTGGTCATAAAGAGCATATCCTCACCTATTGGTCTACAGCAGTGTTTCATGAAATGCAAATCAGTATCCTCAGTTTTGCAGTATATTGAGATATAAGCTAGTCAGATGCTGTGATCTATGAAACACTATAAACAATCTAAGAGCTATTTCAGTTTTTCATATTGTAGAACTTTTCCTCTCCTAAAGAATCTTGTGGGTATATCAAAAAGAGCCAAGACTAATTCTAGGCATAGTGTGAAATTCACATCCCCTGAGCTTGTAGTCCAGCAGGGTCAGCATCCTCTATGGATTGTAAAGTTACCATGACCTTTGTTAATGTGCTCTGTCAAGCTGAAATCCTTTTTTATGGTTAAAAGGAGGCTGAAGATTTTCCAGTTACATCTCTTGACAAATAACTAAGGCCAGGATTCACACAAATGAGTGTATAAAGTTAGGCTCCTAAGTGTCCTGATTTTTCTTTTCAAAAGTGTTTCTTCACTTACATCACCTTTTGATTTCAGTGGCAAGTCAGTTTGTTAAGCTGTTTATTTTCTTTGTTCTGTAGTTCCTTTAAATCTCAGTTTTAAAAAAAAAGCTGCTGCTTTGGCTGTGGAGATTGCTTTTTGGTTTTGTTAAAGTTGTTCTGTGTTCTGTTTGTTTTAGCTAGCTTATTTTGAGAACTTTTTTAAAGTTACTTTCTGCAGAGAAAAAAAATGGCTGGAATGAAAGTGCCCCAGGGCTTCAGGAGATGTCCAGAGTGTGCTTGTGCTGATTGAGTAATGGGCTCCGTCTGCTTTGTCTCGGAGGAGCAACATTATGCAGGATGTGGCTCCACTCAGGATTTTTTTCTAAATTATTTATCTCCAGTAGAATACCATAGGTCTTTTATCCTTCTTCACAAGATTGCTAGTTATCAGATTTGTGAATGGTGAAGGCAATTGAACTGGGCTTTGGGGCTATAAGGTGCCAATCTACCCTATCTACTGCCCAAATTATTAGGAGACATAAGGAAAGGAAACAAAAGTGAAAGGAAATAGGAAGAAGGTAGGGGACAAAAAGGCAAGAGGAGTCTGATGAGCATGAAGCCAAGGTAAAGACTGTGAGGGAAGATGAAGAAGAGGTTTAGAACAAATAGCCAGTCAGTAGAGGGCAGAGTTCAAATGTATGCATATTTTTTGCACATGCTACTGTTTGTGTAATAAAAATGTTCATGTTGAGTGATGCTGATTTCTTTTTTTTTCTTTTGGCAGGAAACAGAATACTGTAATTCAGGTGGTGAATAAATTAGGAGGCTTTTCATTTTCAAATGATGTTTGTGAAACAACTAGTCATGTAGTTGCAGGAAGTCCTCGTCGTACATTGAATGTAATGCTGGGAATTGCTCGTGGCTGTTGGATTGTGTGTTATGAATGGGTAAGCAATGTATCTGAATTATACAGCGAAGTATATCATGTTTCTTTTATACAGGTCAAGTTTCAGGCATTAACAGTGCACACTACAGCATAGAGATACCTGAACTAACTTTCAAGATGCTGAGTGGCCTGTGCAGCACTTTAAGCTACCATGGCTAGACTGCTTTCAATGCCCAGGATAGCTCTGGTATCTCTGCACTGCACCATGTCTCAAAAGTTTTTTTATAAATGAAAGCCACCACTAAGATGTCTAACAACACACAATTTGATAAGTATTATTTCTAGATAGGTTAATGGTTAGGACAAACCAGATTTGTTCGGTTCTAGTTAGAACATGTCATTCCTATTCAGAATATTTCCACAAATATTTTTCAGTAATTATATATAAAATTTATCTTCTGAACTATGTAATTGTGCATTTTTACAAACATGGAATACAATGATTATTATAACACTCCACTGGAGTACTTATTATTGAAGTATCGTTAGGAGAAAGATATGCGTAAAAGTTTAAGACTGAGTACCTGTGCAGACATTTGGTCTCCCAAGAGAGATTCTTCTGAGTTCCAGTTATCTCAGGTTGCTCCCAAGTGTGGCCATTTTTGCACTGAAAGAAAAATTATAAATGTCTATACACATGTGGTTTCTCCTGGGAGAGTAGCAACTCTCTCAAGAGAGACTCTAAGTTTATATGTAGCCTAAGGCACAATGAGGGTGAGAACAAAGTTTGAAAACATGCTTCATTAGCCTTGCATGCAAATAGTTACATACCTTGAACTGTGAAGATGTGTAACATGTTTTCTTTTACTGTGATTTCCCTATAATTTTCTTGTTTTCTTTTAGTATTACTTTAAAATGAAATTGCTGTACCTAAAACGACACAACTAGCTATATTTCCTTTTTTCAGTCCAAAATACTGTAGATAATACCTGACTTGTCAGCAACATCGTATAGCCGGTTGCAAAGATATAGTTTCATAGTTTCTAGGGTCGGAAGGGACCTG